GATCTCGAACAGTGAGCTGAATGCAGCTATGTTCTTGTGAGTGCTAGAACTACAACGTACGAAGGGTGTAAAAGACCCTTTTATTTAAATCACTATTTACAGCAACTCCCAGCTCGGGAGGGATAACAGAAGAATAATGACCCCGCTTGGGTCTAAACTGAACAATCAAAAAATTTAAAGTGAAGCTTAAGTAGAAATTCAAATAGTTGCAGTTCTTAGAGCTTAAACGCGAGATTGGCCTATCTATGGTGCGTAGCAAGCCTTAGCTAATTGCTAATGCACTTAAATCACTTCAATAAGTATTAGAGTAATAGCTCTAAGACGTAAGAATTTAAATACTAGCTAATCTGGCGAACGTCCACCGAGCCGAAGTGGTCTGAGACTAAAAGACTAAAAGCTCTCTCACTCTTGAGAAGTTTCTCACTAACCTTTAAATACAAAACTTGGCTCCAACGCAAATTAGCATAAAGCTGAACCGCGCGCTCATTCTGAGGGGAAGTTGAAATCAGAGTTTATAGGAAAGGGTACCTTAAAATAAAAAGAAATTTGGTTAGTTTGAATTAAAACCTTACAGATGACGACCTATGATTCACGTTCGACACCGCGAAAAGTGGTCACATTCACACAAGATGTAAAGAAAAAACTTACCGTAGTAGAACAAACTAGTTTTGAAATCAGAATGCCTATTTAACTCTACCACAGTTCAAATCTCGAACTCAATGGAAATTGTTTTAATTATATGCTTCCCAGTGAATTTCTCTGGTTCTGGCATTCCATTCTATGTCAAGAATTCGAACACAAAAGCTGGCAAGGTGCTGCCAGATGTTAAAATGTACAATTAAAATGGTAGAGTTTGTGCTTTTGGTGTTAATCTAGCAATAATACATGAGAAAAATTTTTACTAAGATTATTAAAATTATCAGTTTTTTTTTTTTTTTTTTTTTTTTTTTTTTTTAGCGTTGGTGTTGGCCATAAGGGCTATTAATTACGTTTTGGCATTTTGTGATGAAAACTTTAAAAAACGCTGTATCAGTTTCATATTATTGCCACCAAATATTATCGCCCTGCATTATATTTAAAGAAATTAAATAATGAAAAATCTGCATAAATGTATGTATGCTTCTCAATTGTGATAAAACTACGGTACCTAGAGCCATCCAATTCTGAATAAAGTAATCCTCCATCCGAATACGGGCATCTGGAAGCCCAAATTTGGAATTTGTTTTATTACGTCAGTGTGGTCCTACTCGCGGCTCACGGGCGGTATTGGGCATTCTTATTCATTCTGTTGGCACTTGCCCTTCTTGCTGGGGAAAAAAAAAGACCCTTCTTACTGCTTTAAATAATAATAAACAGGATAAATTATATTTGTGAGAAACAAGTAGCATAAAACAGTCGCTAGAATGGTAACTAGCTGGCGAACCTGCGCTGCAGGGAGTGCAAAAAGGCAGATTTAGCGCGAAACTGCCTGACATCTTCAAAGCTGTCCATCAGATGACAATTTCTTTCATTCCTAGAGATATATTAAACTAGTGGTTTATATGTAACTAATTTCCTTTCTTTAATGTCTCTCCTATACTAACGTTTAATTGGCCCTCGGGTAGCTAAAGGTTGGACCACACTGTATTATGTATTTCATATTTTGTAACAGTATACCGAATTTTTGGTTAACAAACTCAACGATTTCAAAGCGAGCAATGACAACACTATACGAAAAAAAAAAAAAAAAAAAAAAAGTCAGTATCGGAAATTCTAAAATATCCTGTTTTAAAATTATTTTGAAAAACTGCTATTGAATTGAATTTTATGGTTTAAGTGCGAAGAACGTGATATTTAATAAATAAATTTAACCCAGAAAACGTTAAAAAAATGCCCCTTGGGGCGTAAAATAAAATCTGAAATCCTTCATATTAAAAAAAAAAATAAATAAATAAAAATAATTCTTTACGGTATTTTTTTTAAACGTTACAGGCCATAGAGGTTTGTTGTTCTTGCAGCTTTATTACTTTTCAAGGGACATTTTTGTAATTCTATGATACTGAGGTTCTAATTCTATAATACTCTACTATACTTTGCTTTTAATTCTGTAATAATATATTTTTTACAAACACATACAAAAGAAGAGAACACATAATGAGCAGTTAAAATTAAAAATATTTAAAGTATTTAAAATAATTATGCGAATTCGTGACGATTGAGCCATTCCAGGAGGAATAATGAGGCTTCTTATTTATTTATTATTTTTTTCCCCACCTTCTGGGTGCGGGATGTTATCTTTCTCTGAAAGTCGGCCTTCACATTCTTTTAAGGGCTTGGATAAACGCTTCTGTTTACACTGTTAGCTCGGAAAGGATCATTTGTACCCTCTGATGCCCTATTTCTTTTAAAGGTAGGAATGGCGTCCTTTTCGCAAAGTCGGATTTACATATAAATCAAATGAGTTCTAATTTACGGGTCTTTTAATTGTTTTTATTGTTCAGAAATTAAGTAAGTAATAAAATAGTTAAATGTTCATCTAAAGTGTCTTTCCCTCGCTAAAGGTTCCATTAGTGAGAGAAATTAAAACTTTTTATTTTTTTAATTTTTATTTTATTTTATTTTATTATTTATTATTATTTTTATTTATTTTGTAAACAGTAGATAGTTCGGTTTCGAATCCGTGTGATGGACGGATAAATTGTTTCGTACAGCCATAAGAGATAAAAAGAGGCTGTACAAGAAAATGTATTTAAATCTTAATTTTTTCCTTTTAAATGTTTTATGTAAATAAAATGTGATGTCAAGAATTTCAGTTGTAGTTTTTCTGTAAATAAGATTGCCAGCTGAAACGTCACGTGCGATTCAACAATACATCAGAACAGGTAAATGAATTTTGTTCTTGTTTTTTAAATCAGCTAGATATAAATAGAACCTGCATACGTCAGTGGATTCTGACAACTTCGATCAACAGTAGTTGATTAATTACGTAATATAATAAAGTTTTTGGCGTCCGCCATCAGGACGTGTTGTCCTATAGAAGAACTAGTTATTTATGCTTTCGAAAACAGAAGTACTTGAAATATGTGTTACAACTCGAACGCGAAATGAGCGAAAGTTTCTCTTCAGCCAGTGGCAACGGGGAGTCGAAAAAGGAACTTGGAAGAGAGCGGTCGCTCACTCGGTTTTCTCTCGCTAGAATTTGATACGAAGGGGGGATAATCCTCATCTTTTGATTTAAAATTAATCTCGTATATTGTAATATAAAAGATGTGTGTAAATAAAAGTCATTAAGACTTAATGGAAGTAGTGATTTGAATCGAATATGCAAATCGAAAGCTCTCCCAAATAGAACTATGGATTTTAGAAATGACATAATTTTAGTGATGCCTTCACCAAGGGACTTTTGGATTAGAATTTCGAAGATTAGCAGATGGATTACCTGTAAACAGGTAAGCAATTCCTTTTTCTTTGAAAATTTGGAAAAAAACTGAGTTTCAGTATTGTGATTAGTCAATTTTAAAGATGGAAGCTTTAGACAAACTAAAACAGAAACGTACGAATGAGCGTAGTAGCGTTACGAAATTAATTACAAAAATAGACTCTTTGTTGTCAGAAAATATCGAAAACACAAACATTGAGGAATTGCAGGAGATGAATAAAACAATTCTCGAAAAAGAAAACACGTTGAAAATATTGAATTCACAAATCGAAACTCAGTTAAAAGATGCTAAAGAATTTGAAAAAGATATTACTGCAAGTGATAAATACAATGAACAAATTATGTCTGCAAAGTTTAGAATTAAAATAAGATTAAATAAATGTAATGAAAATTTGTCTGTGAAAAGTGTATCAGATGCAAATTCTTTGAACACTTCTGTTTCTGAAATAAATGTATCGTCATCGGCTATGAAATTGCCAAAGTTAAATATTCCAAAATTCTCAGGAGATGCAGGAAAATGGTTAGAATTTTTTAACAGTTTTCAAGCTGCGATTGATCAGAACAAAGCATTAACCAAGATTGAAAAAATCGTATACTTGAAATCATTATTGATAGGGCAAGCATATAATGTCATTGAAGGATTTCAATTAACCGAAAACAATTACGATTCGTGTTTAGAACTTTTAAAAGAACGCTTTGGAAAACCAGAGAAAATTATAAAATCACATATGAATAATCTTTTGGACATAGAACCAGTTAAAAATTCTTCTAACTTAAATGCACTAAGAAGATTACACGACGCTTGTGAAATAAACATTCGAAGCTTAAGTAATTTAGGAGTAACTTCAGGTTCGTACGGACACTTGTTAAATCCGATATTATTGAAATTATTGCCTCATGATTTGAATATCACCGAAAGCGTGATCCAAAAGAGGAATCTGATGTTACAGGTTTAATTGCTTTTTTGAAAAACGAAATTAAATGCCGCGAACAAACGTACGCAGTTAACAAACCGGAACCGAAATTCGTTCCATTGAGCGGAAAGAATTAACACTTCGACAAACACAAAAGTAATTATAAATACACAAAAAATAAGTTTAACTCTAAAGTTAACACCTCGTCAGCGGCAGAATTATTAGCTCCTGTAAAAGAAGAAAACTGTATTTTTTGCAAAAATAACACACATAATAGTGAAAAGTGTGATATGAGTGTAAATGAAAAACGAAATATACTGCGATTACAAGCTCGATGCTATGTTTGTCTTGCTCAAGGTCATCGATTTTCTGATTGTTCTGAGAAAAAGTTGTGTATACTGCCACAAAAAACATAATGCAACCCTTTGTTACAAAAATGAGAAAAAACCCGAAGCGTCGCGCAATCAAAAGGTGTAGAAAATTCGGCGTGCAATCACATTAGCATCGGTAGGAATAAAATATTTTTACAAACGGCGACAGTAGAATTTAAAAGTAGATCACGCAATAAATTAGTTCGTTGTTTATTTGACAGCGCTAGTCAACGCTCGTATATTCAGAAACGTCCGTCTAAACAACTGGGATTAAAAGTCGTGGGAAGGGAAGAAATAATGATTCATACTTTCGGATCTCAAGTACCTACCAAACAGAACTGTGCGCGAGTAGAAGTAAAAATAAAAAACATTTTCGATAACGAGGAATTAATTATTCAGGTTTTAGAGACTGATGAAATATCGAATGCTGAGCTAGACTATCCTCCGCAAAATATTAAGGAGTTGTTCAAAGATAGGGGACTAATTTTGGCGGATGTTAATCACGAATCTTTAAATAACAACAACGTATCTTTACTCATTGGAGCTGATAATTATTGGAAATTAGTAAAAGACAAAATTGAACGTTTGAACTCATCATTAGTTACAATGGAAACCAAAATGGGTTGGATTTTAATGGGAAAACTATTTGATCGTATTGAAGATGGGGAAAATGTAACTAATGCCGTCGCAGTGACTTCTTTATTAATTCACACATCGAAGATTGAAAATTTGTGGAAATTAGATTTATTGGGAATTCAAGACCCTGTTGAAACAAAATGTAGAAAGGAAATGGAAATTGCCGCATTGAATCATTTTAACGAAACTGTTACCTTTAAAGAGGGAAGATATGAGGTTCAGTTGCCTTGGGTAACAGAAAAGGACTGTTTAAGTCAAAATTTGGATATTGCTAGACAACGTTTAAACAGTACGACACACCGGTTGATACAAAAGGGCAAATTCGAGGATGGTTTAATCCTAGTATCCGGTGCACACGGGATTTGACTACTTTTGGCGTTTAAACAGTAAAAACGACATATACGATGAGTAGTTAACGGGTCATTCAAAGAAAATATGTAGTTAAACATAGTATATAATATATATGCTATGTGTGTATAATATATATATAGACGTTCTTTGGATCATTTGATCATTTTTGGTGTTGGCGATAATTTTCAAAGTCGCGCCAAGGCTGCACCGTATACTAGGATTTTACCTCGAGGATTACGAAAATGTTTTCACAGATTGGTTAAATGAAGGAAGTATAGAGGAAGTTCCTGAACACGAAATGAATAATCAGTGTTACTATTTACCACATAAAGGGGTATTCAAAGAAACTTCGACCACAAAGTTGCGACCGGTTTTTGATGCTTCATGTAAAGATAAAAATTCGCGCTCACTAGAAAAGGGTCCAAATTTGCTGGAACAAATTATTCCTATAATTTTAAGATTTCGCAAGAATAGAATAGAAGTTATTTCAGACATAAGAAAGGCTTTTTTTGCAAATGTCAGTGAATAAGAGTGATCGAGATTTCTTACGATTTTTATGGTGGAAAGACTTTGACAAGAGGAACTTAGAGTTTTTAGACATAAACGCGTTGTTTTTGGATTGAATTGCAGTCCCTTTTTTATTGGCTGCTGTATTAAGCCATCACATTGATCTAAATTCGTCTAAATATCCTGAAACAGCGGAAAAATTTAAAAGAATCATTCTACGTAGATAATTGCATTACATCTGTTTCCTGATGAAGAGACACTTACGCGCTTCATCGAGGAATCGAAACAGATATTAGATTCTGCGTCATTCGATTTGAGAGGGTGGGAGCACACTTCTCTTTTGAAATCTGAAGACAGTATAGAACCTACTCCTGTATTGGGAATTTTGTGGGATAAGGAGATGATATTTCTGTGAAGACTGATGCTTACAAAAGTGTAACACGCCGAATAAATACTAATTCAGAAGTCAAACAACAAAAATAGGCTACTTCACAGACTAGTTTCGATAGAGTGCAAAACCAACCATTTGCGGTTTTGCAGTGAGATGATGGTGAATTACTGATAAACTTGACCAAACCAGTGAATCTTACTAGAAGAAATATATTGTCTGCGGTACATCGCATTTTCGACCCCATGGGTTTTCTCTGTCCCTATAACGCTAACACCTAAACTACTCAATACAAAAGACATGGTTGTTAAAAATTGGTTGGGATACAAATATACCCGAAGACTTAGGAAAAGAGTTCTATTCGTGGATTGATGATTTGTCACTTTTATCCAGTATTAGAATTCCAAGGGCTTTAGATATAAATGGAAATGAAAGTCTTAGTCTTCATACGTTCTGTGACGCAAGTAAACAAGCCTATGGATGTGTGATTTATTTAAGAAAAGGAAACAAGTGAAAATGTATTCGGTGTACATTTTCTTCTAGCTAAAAGTAAGAGTGAGTCCATTAAGAAAAATGAACCATAAATCGTCTAGAATTATTATCCTGCTGTATAGGAGTCAGACTCGCAGCTCTTGCTTTACACAACACTCAAATTAGACAACGTTCCAAGGAACTATTGGACAGATTTCGAGTACTGCTCTTTCTTGGATCCAAAGAGATGACCATTGGGCGCCATTTGTCGCAAATAGAGTAAAAGAAGATACGAAAATTGTCATCGGAAATCTGAATGGCGTCACATTCCAGGAAATTCGAATCCAGCAGATATACCATCACGAGGGTGTTCGATTAAGAGTTTTGTGAAATCTCGCTGGTGGCAAGGCCAGAATGGCTTATGAAGAACGAAGAAGAGTGGCCAACTAGTGAAGTTGATTACTAACGAAGAAGAAATTATGAAAGAAAAGCGAAAGAACATTATTTCGACTTTGGCTAATATCACCGCTGAAAAATGGTATCTGATTACTTTTCAAGTTACTTTAAAATTGTGAGAATGATTTCTTGGATTCTAAGATTCATAAATAATTGTAGACATGGAGGAAGAAATTATGGCAAAACCCTGAGTGTTGAAGAATTGGACATTGCTGAGAAGAAATTAGTGAAGATCGTTCAACAAGAAGCATTCTCTAGTGAAGAACAGTTGAAGGGACATTTTACTTTCAGAGATGAAGAAGGGATTATAAGATTGAAAACGAAGATTTTGAGAAGACATGATGATGAAAACTTCCGGTGCCCCATTGTACTTCCAGCCAAACATGAATTAGTAGAAAGAATGATACAAGACTACCATTTACAACTTTTACATGCTGGTACTCAAGTTCTTTTGACCAATATTCGTCAAAAATTTTGGATAATAAAAGGAAGAAAAACAGTACAAGGAGTCATATCGAAGTGCGTTCGGTGCAAGAGACACTCGGCGAAAGCTCTTGATACAGTGCCTTGTCCTCTCCCAGAAGATCGAGTCAGAGATGCTTATGCATTTGAGGTGACAGGTGTTGATGTAGCAGGACCACTTTATTTAAAAAAAATAGAAAAGCTTGGATCTTGCTTTTTACTTGTGGAGTTTATCGTGCGGTTCATTTAGAATTAATTGAAAGCTTATCGACTAATGGATTTTTTCTCGGATTTAGAAGATTCATAGCACGAAGAGGACGGCCTAGAGTAGTATACAGCGATAATGGCACAAATTTTGTAGGGGCAAGGAATTTGCTCCGATCTGTTGACTGGAACCAAATTATCAGAAGTTCTTCGATAATGAAAATTCAGTGGAAGTTAAATCCACCAACCGCAGCATGGTGGGGCGGCTGGTGGGAGAGACTGGTTCAGATGATCAAGAAATTATTGAGAAGAGTCCTGGGAAAAGCATTACTTTCATATGAAGAAATGTTAACTATCCTATGTGATGCAGAAGCAAATATCAACTCCAGACCGTTAACATACGAGTCAGAAGATTCCACCGATTTATGTGCACTCACTCCATCTATGTTTATTCAGGATGTGCGAACTGAAGGTGTTCCGGATCTGGACAGTTTGGATAAAATCAACTTATCGAAAAGATGGCGATATCACCAAAAGTTACGTGTGGAATTTCGTAAAAGATTTAGAGATGAATATCTTGGTATGTTAGTACATCGACCAAAGACTGTACCTTCGCGAACCATCAAGAAAGGTGATTTAGTGTTTGTAGAGGACGATAAAAGGAAAAGAACAGACTGGCCTATGGGTCGTGTGATCGAAACATACCCAGGAAAAGACAACAACATCAGAGTGGTGGTGAAAGTAAAAACAT